GGCTTGAAATACATCCACAGGTACACCTCCAATTGACTCAAATGATGTAAATTAGCCTATCAGAAGCTTCTAAAGCCATGACATCATTTTCTGCTACATACAAATGCATTTGGAGTTTGTTTTTTTACAGTGATAAATAAATCAAGATAGCTAGCTAATATGAAGTTAGGTAGCAGATCAAATGTAATTCACTTAGCTAGCCATCTATACAGTATGTAAAGTTAGCTAGATAGCTACACAAGCGAGCCACTCAGGCCGGCTGAAGCGGGATGCGGGAATTTACCGCGTGCAAGTGTACACGGGGGCATAACACGCCTCGCTTGCGGTATGGTTTTGGAAGCATACGGACCTTATCTTTCATATCGGCGAGAAATAATTTTTACAAATCAAAACGGTTAAATTGATCCACAGCTTTTATAGGGTTAGGGTTCCCACACGGCCATATTTCCATGTTTACAGGGCTTGTTTACTGAAAACAGATGGAAGACAGAGTGCTAATTAGCTATCTGTGTCACCGAACAGCTGTGTGTAAACGGAAGACAAACGCCACAAACTTGTCACCTGAAAAATACTGTTGGCCGCAACTGTGTTAAAACAGTGTGCAGTAAGTGTACGTTTTGCATTTGTGGAATTATTTTCATGTGATATGAAAGTAGAGGGATTTCTGTTTTTAGAACCAGACCGTAATTGAGAATAGGTTCACGTTTAGATGAGAGTATTTTGGTCTTCCAGAGCCAATTCTCCCTTTAAACTGAACATGTAAGGTCCTTGGACATCAATGGACTAAGGAGTAATGTTGGGCTACCAATGAGTAAAAAAATCAGTGTTTTCACAAGCGAAAGTGAATGCTTTTGATGAAAACGCTTTATCTGCCTTTTTAATGAAAACTAGTTTGAATATTCAAACATATATTTTGTGGAAAATAGATTTCTGAACGATGCACCGTGCTGCATTGTTAACAATATGACCAAGCGTTGCAGATTACCGTTAGATTTTAACCTCCCGAGTGGCGCAGTGGTCGAAGGCCACTGGAGATCCTGGTTCGAATCCAGGCTCTGTCGTAGCCGGCCTTGACCGGGAGACCCATGGGGCGGCGCACAATTGGCCCAGGGTAGGGGAGGGAATGGCCGGCAGGGATGTAGCTCAGTTGGTAGAGCATGGCGTTTGTAACGCTAGGGTTGTGGGTTCGATTCCCACGGGGGGCCAGTATGAAAAAATATATATATATAAAAAAAGTTTAAAAATAAAAAAAACATAATGTATGCACTCACTAACTGTAAGTCGCTCTGGATAAGAGCGTCTGCTAAATGACTAAAATGTAAATGTAATTTTAGCAGGGTGCGCCTCCCTCACCGTCACATGACTGGCTATAGCCCGGTTCAAACAGGGGCATCTTAATCAAATCCCCTCAGTCCATCTTCCACTGTTTCTCCAAGGGAAATGGTGACATCTTCTGGAAGAAAATGTTGGTGAAATGTAAAAAAGGGGTGAAAGAACAAACAGATAATAATAATAATAATAATAATATGCCATTTCGCATATGATCACTATCCTATCATGTGTACTGTAGGAATGAGGGTGGAAGATTCAGTAGGAAATGGATTGAGGAGATATTTGGGAAAGCGGAGTGGGGTCAGGAGCCGTCTCAGGTAGACCTTCAGTCAGATGTAGAAACAGTCAATGATGGAGTAAGACGAGCAGTAGTAGGGGCCGCAAGGCAGGTGATTCCTATTGGTCCAGTGGGGAGAAGGAGGAAGGCAGGTGATTCCTATTGGTCCAGAGGGGAGAAGGAGGAAGGCAGATGATTCCTATTGGGGACAGGGGGGAGAAGGAGGAAGGCAGGTGATTCCTATTGGGGACAGGGGGGAGAAGGAGGAAGGCAGGTGATTCCTATGGGTACAGGGGGGGAGAAGGAGGAAGGCAGGTGATTCCTATGGGTACAGGGGGGAGAAGAAGGAAGGCAGGTGATTCCTATGGGTACAGGGGAGAGTAGGAGGAAGGCAGATGATTCCTATGGGTACAGGGGAGAGGAGGAGGAAGGCAGGTGATTCCTATGGGTACAGGAGGGAGAAGGAGGAAGGCAGGTGATTCCTATGGGTACGGGGGGGGGGGGGGGGGGGGGGGGGGGGGAGAAGGAGCAAGGCTGGTGATTCCTATGGGTACAGGGGAGAGAAGGAGTAATGCAGTTCCCTGTTGAATCATTGTCAGGAGGAAATAGAGACAGTGGAACACATTCTATTTCAGTGCCACACATATGGGCAGGAAAGGGAGCGATTGTTATTAGATTTGAGGGGTAATGGGGTTGAAGAGCCAGGATTAAGTGAACTGCTGGGGAAATCTTAAGGGGATGTAGTATTTAATTATATTTTCGTTTCCTTGGGGAGACGAGAAATTTGGGTAGGATTTAGACCTTCCCTGTCTCTGGTCCACACTCCAGTCCTGTTGGTGGCGGTAATCCACCTTAAAGTTGCCAACCGCGATAAAAATCCACAGAAGAAGAAACAGATGAGGCGCGCAGGTGTAATCTGTCAAATTGATTGAACGGTTAGCGCGGTATCAAAAGCACAAACTATTGAAGATGAGTGCTTTGTTGTTAGTATCGTTTTGAAAGATTAAAACAACCAAGTGAAATAGCTCCGTAGGATCCTGTTTTCATTGACAGTAGAAAAGTGTTTCCTATTTGTAATGGTAAAATAGGCCTAATCTAATTTTCAGCGCTCTCATTTTGATAATACAGTAGTTGGATACGTTAGAAAATGGACGGTGGGCCAACTAACCAAATGTCCCCTGGCCCTGTCTATTGGTCAAGGGTTGTGTTCTGAAAGTGTATATGTTTGTAAGTCTCACTGTAAACCATTCATAGACGCTAACTACCTTCAGCGCCTATTGACAATAGTGCCTATCTTCTAGCCTAGCCAGCCAATAGTGCATGGGCGCTAGATCTGCACTATAGTCTAGGCTTGATGTGCAGTCCTGGTAATAGGCCTACACTCGTGTCCCCTGTGGACTGGCTCGTACGTAAAGCATCCTCCATTCGGGCTGCAAAGGCATTTTCCTCAACTAGCTTTAATGGCGAGGAAGGCAGGGAAAAAACGGGGCGAATATGCGTACATTCTTTTAAGAAACACTATTTTCCACCACAAAGTTGTCCGAAAATATGAGTGGTGGTGTAAAATTGTTTCATAAAGAAAGTACGCATATTTTCCGTTGACGCCTTCTTGCCATTAAAGCTAGTTAAGGAGGGAGGTTATTCCATTGCAGCTGAATGGAGGATGCTTACTAGCCGGTCCACTGGGCGCACGAGTGTATTACCGGCCAGCCAACAAGAGCGTACAGGTCACAGCGGTGGGTAGTATATGGGGCTTTGGTGACAAAACGGATGGCACCGTGATAGACTACATCCAATTTGCTGAGTAGAGTGTTGGAGGCTATTTTGTAAATGACATCGCCGAAGTCAAGGATCGTCGAGAGTAGTGATTCTAGTCGGCTGGGCGGGTGCCAGCAGCATTCGATTGAAGAGCATGCATTTAGTTTTACTAGTGTTTAAGAGCAGTTGGAGGCTACTGAAGGAGTGTTGTATGGCATTGAAGCTCGTTTGGAGGTTTGTTAACAGTGTCCAATGAAGGGCCAGATGTATACAAAATGGTGTCGTCTGCGTAGAGGTGGATCTGAGAGTCAACAGCAGCAAGAGCGACATTATTGATATACACGGAGAAAACAGTCGGCCCAAGAATTGAACCCTGTGGCACCCCCATAGAGACTGCCATAGGTCCAGACAACAGGCCCTCCGATTTCACACATTGAACTCTATCTGAGAAGTAGTTGGTGAACCAGGCGAGGCAGTCATTTGAGAAACCAAGGCTATTTAGTCTGCCAATAAGAATGCGGTGATTGACAGAGTCGAAAGCCTTGGCCAGGTCGATGAAGACGGCTGCACAGTACTGTCTACTATCGATCGCGGTTATAATATCGTTTAGGACCTTGAGCGTGGCTGAAGTGCACCCATGACCAGCTCGGAAACCGGATTGCATAGCGGAGAAGGTACGTGGGATTCGAAATGGTTGGTGATCTGTTTGTTAACTTGGCTTTCAAATACTTTCGAAAGGCAGTGCAGGATGGATATAGGTCTGTAACAGTTTGGATCTAGAGTGTCACCCCCTTTGAAGAGGGGGATGACCGCGGCAGCTTTCCAATCTCTGGGGATCTCAGACGTTACGAAAGAGAGGTTGAACAGGCTAGTAATAGGGGTTGCGACAATTTTGGCGGCTAGTTTTAGAAAGAAAGGGTCCAGATTGTCTAGCCCAGCTGATTTGTAGGGGTCCAGATTTTGCAGCTCTTTCAGAACATCAGCTGTCTGAATTTGTGTGAAGGAGAAGCGGGGGGGGGGCATGGGCAAGTTGCAGCGGAGGGTGCAGAGTTGGTGGCCGGGGTAGTGGTAGCCAGGTGGAAAGCATGGCCAGCCGTAGCAAAATGCTTGTTGAAATTCTCGATTATTGTAGATTTATCGGTGGTGATAGTGTTTCCTAGCCTCAGTGCAGTGGGCAGCTGGGAGGAAGTGCTCTTATTCTCCATGGACTTTAGTGTCCCAAAACTTTTTGGAGTTAGTGCTACAGGATACAAATTTCTGTTTGAAAAATATATATACACACACACACACTACCGGTCAAATGTTTTAGTACACATACTCATTCAAGGGCTTTTATTTATTTTTACTATTTTCTACATTGTAGAATAATAGTGAAGACATCAAAACTATGAAATAACACATATATCATGTAGTAACCAAAAAAGTGTCAAACAAATCAAAATATATTTTATATTTGAAATTCTTCAAATAGCCACCCTTTGCCTTGATGACAGCTTTGCACACGCGGTGCAAATAAGAGGTAGCCCCACAACCCGCGATCAATACATTTTCACCCGCAACATCGTTTTCAAAGTAGCTCAACGTGGCCGGAAAACCGCGAACATGTGGGCAACCCTGGTTGTTTTAAAACGCCATGACGTCAACCAAGGGCAATTTGCTGTCCTCTACTTCCGGCGTCACATTCTATAACCCGCTCCAGAGATGTGTTCGGAGGAACATGGCGGTACCGTGGAGGCACTGTTGGAGGAGAAGTAAAGGCGCTACTTGTACACGTTTACTAGAAACCGTATGGTGTTTTAATGGAAGTTCTGCTATGTTTGCTGCCTCGTTGCTCCGAAGAACGGGAACTGTCGCTGGCTGGAGAAATGAGGTAACGTGGTAAGATTTCACCGGGCGGGCGTGCTGTCAACCCGAGGAAGGTCAACCAGTAGAGAAGTTGGAAGCCGCAAGCTGATTTTATTGAATGAGTTACAGCTGCCTTGGTGTAGCTATATTGGGATTTAGTCCAGTCCAGTTTATTCTAGTTGTAGAAGCTAACTAAAACAATCAATATTGTATCAATGAAATTGCTTTTCTGGACATAACGTTAGCTAAAGATTGTTGTTTAGTATGACAATATTGTTTGTAGTTCTAGCCATATCTAGCTAGCTGGTTTGTTATGTAGTCTCAGTTTAGCTAAAGGTCAAGACGGTGTATGTCATTTCGGGATTGCTATGTACCAAGTTTTGCACTTGACTTATCTCACTAGTTTAACCCTATTAGCTCAAGCGACGGTAGGTTAACGTTATCACTAGACAGAACTGTCAGTGGGTAGACTTCATTGGTCAAGTGTATGTGGTTCACTTCCTACTAAAAGGTCCTCTCAACTAGACCTCGGTGTAACTAGCTATATCTCCTCTCAACTACAGTGAGGGGAAAAAAGTATTTGATCCCCTGCTGATTTTGTATGTTAGCCCACTGACAAAGACATGATCAGTCTATAATTTTAATGGTAGCTTTATTTGAACAGTGAGAGACAGAATAAAGACAAAAAAATCCGGAAAAACGCATGTCAAAAATGTTATAAATTGATTTGCATTTTAATGAAGGAAATAAGTATTTGACCCCCTCTCAATCAGAAAGATTTCTGGCTCCCAGGTGTCTCTTATGCAGGTAACGAGCTGAGATTAGGAGCACACTCTTAAAGGGAGTGCTCCTAATCTCAGTTTGTTACCTGTATAAAAGACACCTGTCCACAGAAGCAATCAATCAATCAGATTCCAAACTCTCCACCATGGCCAAGACCAAAGAGCTCTCCAAGGATGTCAGGGACAAGATTGTAGACCTACACAAGGCTGGAATGGGCTACAAGACCATCGCCAAGCAGCTCGGTGAGAAGGTGACAACAGTTGGTGCGATTATTCGCAAATGGAAGAAACACAAAAGACCTGTCAATCTCCCTCGGCCTGGGGCTCCATGCAAGAACTCACCTCGTGGAGTTGCAATGATCATGAGAACGGTGAGGAATCAGCCCAGAACTACACGGGAGGATCTTGTCAATGATCTCAAGGCAGCTGGGACCATAGTCACCAAGAAAACAATTGGTAACACAATACGCTGTGAAGGACTGAAATCCTGCAGCGCCCGCAAGATCCCCCTGCTCAAGAAAGCACATATACAGGCCCGTCTGAAGTTTGCCAATGAACATCTGAATGATTCAGAGGAGAACTGGGTGAAGTGTTTTGGTCAGATGAGACCAAAATTGAGCTCTTTGGCATCAACTCAACTCGCTGTGTTTGGAGGAGGAGGAATGCTGCCTATGACCCTAAGAACACCATCCCCACCGTCAAACATGGAGGTGGAAACATTATGCTTTCGGGGTGTTTTTCTGCTAAGGGGACAGGACAACTTCACCGCATCAAAGGGACGATGGACGGGGCCATGTACCGTCAAATCTTGGGTGAGAACCTCCTTCCCTCAGCCAGGGCATTGAAAATGGGTCGTGGATGGGTATTCCAGCATGACAATGACCCAAAACACACGGCCAAGGCAACAAAGGAGTGGCTCAAGAAGAAGCACATTAAGGTGATGGAGTGGCCTAGCCAGTGTCCAGACCTTAATCCCATAGAAAATCTGTGGAGGGAGCTGAAGGTTCGAGTTGCCTAACGTCAGCCTCGAAACCTCAATGACTTGGAGAAGATCTACAAAGAGGAGTGGGACAAAATCCCTCCTGAGATGTGTGCAAACCTGGTGGCCAACTATAAGAAACGTCTGTCCTCTGTGATTGCCAACAAGGGTTTTGCCACCAAGTACTAAGTCATGTTTTGAAGAGGGGTCAAATACTTATTTCCCCCATTAAAATGCAAATCAATTTATAACATTTTTGACATGCATTTTTCTTTTTTTTTGTTGTTATTCTGTCTCACTGTTCAAATAAACCTACCATTAAAAATTATAGACTGATAATTTCTTTGTCAGTGGGCAAACAAACAAAATCAGCAGGGGATCAAATACTTTTTTCCCTCACTGTAGACCTTGGTGTAACTAGCTATGTGTCCTCTCAACTAGACCTTGGTGTAACTAGCTATGTGTCCTCTCAACTAGACCTTGGTGTAACTAGCTATGTGTCCTCTCAACTAGACCTCGGTGTACAATGGGGGGAAAAAAGTATTTAGTCAGCCACCAATTGTGCAAGTTCTCCCACTTAAAAAGATGAGAGAGGCCTGTAATTTTCATCATAGGTACACGTCAACTATGACTGACAAATTGAGAAAAGGAAATCCAGAAAATCACATTGTAGGATTTTTAATGAATTTATTTGCAAATTATGGTGGAAAATAAGTATTTGGTCACCTACAAACAAGCAAGATTTCTGGCTCTCACAGACCTGTAACTTCTTCTTTAAGAGGTTCCTCTGTCCTCCACTCGTTACCTGTATTAATGGCACCTGTTTGAAATTGTTATCAGTATAAAAGACACCTGTCCACAACCTTAAACAGTCACACTCCAAACTCCACTATGGCCAAGACCAAAGAGCTGTCAAAGGACACCAGAAACAAAATTGTAGACCTGCACCAGGCTGGGAAGACTGAATCTGCAATAGGTAAGCAGCTTGGTTTGAAGAAATCAACTGTGGGAGCAATTATTAGGAAATGGAAGACATACAAGACCACTGATAATCTCCCTCGATCTGGGGCTCCACGCAAGATCTCACCCCGTGGGGTCAAAATGATCACAAGAATGGTGAGCAAAAATCCCAGAACCACACGGGGTGACCTAGTGAATTACCTGCAGAGAGCTGGGACCAAAGTAACAAAGCCTACCATCAGTAACACACTACGCCGCCAGGGACTCAAATCCTGCAGGCCCGTGTAAAGGAAAGAATGAATGGGGCCATGTATCGTGAGATTTTGAGTGAAAACCTCCTTCCATCAGCAAGGGCATTGAAGATTAAACGTGGCTGGGTCTTTCAGCATGACTATGATCCCAAACACACCGCCCGGGCAACGAAGGAGTGGCTTCGTAAGAAGCATTTCAAGGTCCTGGAGTGGCCTAGCCAGTCTCCAGATCTCAACCCCATAGAAAATCTTTGGAGGGAGTTGAAAGTCAGTGTTGCCCAGCGACAGCCCCAAAACATCACTGCTCTAGAGGAGATCTGCATGGAGGAATGGGCCAAAATACCAGCAACAGTGTGTGAAAACCTTGTGAAGACTTACAAAAAACGTTTGACCTGTGTCATTGCCAACAAAGGGTATATAACAAAGTATTGAGTCACTTTTGTTATTGACCAAATACTTATTTTCCACCATAATTTGCAAATAAATTCATTAAAAATCCTACAATGTGATTTTCTGGAAAAATTTCTCAATTTGTCTGTCATAGTTGACGTGTACCTATGATGAAAATTACAGGCCTCTCTCATCTTTTTAAGTGGGAGAACTTGCACAATTGGTGGCTGACTAAATACTTTTCCCCCCACTATGTCTCCTCTCAACTAGACCTCGGTGTAACTAGCTGTCCTTCAAAAACCGGAGTGAAAGCTGTCAAATGCTCACCTCTCACCTGACTTAAAGGTCACATTTAGGTTACATGTGCAAATATTGTGGTGCTCAGGTTATTCATTTGTGATATTGATTTCTTTCAGGGGCTGTCCTCAAGGACTGTACACACAACCTCACTAGGCAACTCTATTCTGACAAGGTGAGTCTGAGATTGAAATGTTAAATGCTGTAGATTGATTTCAAGTGTGTGTAATGTGTGTATTAATTGACATGTGTTTTTATTTCCCTGTAGGCTCAAATCAAGGTTGCTTTACCCCACACCAAAGCCTTGTTGTTGCGAAAGGATACACAGCGACGCCAAGTTGAAGGACCCCTTCACTCTAGCCCAAAAAGATTTGAGTAATTTGTACGACGATATCAAAAAGGTAAGTCATTTGACTTGAGTCATCATTTAGCGCTGAGATTTGTTTTTCAATGAAAAGTGCGCTATAAATGAAATATACTATTGTTATGTAGCATTAAGGCTACAGTGGCGTGCTTCTAACTCATATTGCTCATATACACAGTTCAGACTATTACTGATGTTATAACATGACTGTAATAAAGATACATTATCTGTGCTTCACAGGAGCTTTTTGTGTCCAAGTCAGAGCTGAAGTCCCTGTGTGACTACTACTTTGACGGGAAAGGCAAGGCCTTCCGACCCACGATAGTGGTGCTGATGGCCCGGGCCTGCAATAGTCACAGCAACCGAGACGGGTAAGACATTATCCTTGGTATACCCTAGTGAACTAGGTAGGTAGTACGCATGGTAGTGTGTAGCCTGATCTACCATCCTGACCGCTGTGATCTTTATTTTTAATTTTATTTTTTTGTAGTTTCACTAGCAAAAGATCATGTAAGCTTGTGATATCTGAATGGTTGTAGGGGGCTACTAATGGGTTACAAGGAGACAGACCTGGGTGAGAAACTATGCTACTAATGGGTTACAAGGAGACAGACCTGGGTGAGAAACTATGCTACTAATGGGTTACAAGGAGACAGACCTGGGTGAGAAACGATGCTACTAATGGGTTACAAGGAGACAGACCTGGGTGAGAAACGATGCTACTAATGGGTTACAAGGAGACAGACCTGGGTGAGAAACGATGCTACTAATGGGTTACAAGGAGACAGACCTGGGTGAGAAACGATGCTACTAATGGGTTACAAGGAGACAGACCTGGGTGAGAAACTATGCTACTAATGGGTTACAAGGAGACAGACCTGGGTGAGAAACTATGCTACTAATGGGTTACAAGGAGACAGACCTGGGTGAGAAACTATGCTACTAATGGGTTACAAGGAGACAGACCTGGGTGAGAAACGATGCTACTAATGGGTTACAAGGAGACAGACCTGGGTGAGAAACGATGCTACTAATGGGTTACAAGGAGACAGACCTGGGTGAGAAACTATGCTAATGAAATGTATTTTGCACACACACCAGGAGCAACTTGTCACACCTGTCTGGGAGAAAACACAGATTGGAAAGGGAAAATAGGCTGTTTATTACGTCATTACAGGAGAGGGCTGTATTACGGTCTAAATTAATAATGCGTATACTATATCGTTGCAATAAACTAATTCATTTAGCCTGCCCATATTAGTGATGATATGAACCAATATGTGAGAAAGCTATAACTGTGTTATCAACCAGCCTATTCTCCCTCTCTCCCCGTCTCTGTCTCTCTTTCTTTGTCTCACTCTCTCCTTTCTCTCTCCCCCTCTCCTCTTTCTCTGTCTCTTTCTCTCACTCTCTCCCCCTTTCTCTTTCTCTTTTTTTTCTCTCTCTCCAGAGATCTGCTCCCAGGTCAGCGGTCCATAGCTATGATCTCTGAGATGATCCACACTGCCAGCCTGGTCCACGATGATGTCATCGACGGCTCGGACAAGCGGAGAGGGAAGACCACTATCAACGAAGTGTGGGGAGAGAGAAAGGTTAGCCAGTCACGCCAGTTTTCTTGAAAAGGTGCAATACTATCACTTTTCTGTAATGCATCTTATGACAAACGAATACACCCTTAGTAGTTGTAAGATCATATGAATGTATTCTCTTATTCCCAGGCCATTTTAGCTGGAGACTTCATCCTCTCGGCAGCCTCCATGGCTCTGGCCCGTATCGGCAACAACACGGTGGTGTCAGTGCTGTCTCAGGTCATGGAGGATCTGGTGAGAGGTAAGGACAGTCGGGCTCGTGATGAGGTAGCCCTGCCCGCGACTTCAAAATCAGTGTCAACCTCGGGCAAAGAGGTAATTACCTCTTGGTCTAATGGTTAAGACTTACGTTTCTCCCATGGGGGGGACATGGGTTCAGATCCCGCCTGTGACGCATTGCACAATATATTCAGTCCGTTTTCAATTTGAAACAGTTGATTTAAAAAAAAAAAAATATCTGTTGCCTTGGCTGTTTTCAGTTATTGTATACCTTCTAACAGAAATACACTTTGAGTTATCAGTTTGGTAATCACCATTACCTGCCCCCTTTTACTATCTAGATGTTGTAATGCAACGCTTCTGATTCTGTAAGGGGAAAATGAGTGATGAATGTTTAGGATGACCGAAGTGTATAGGAAACGCTGTCTCTGTTCACACCAACATATTTTGCTGATGTTCCAGGTGAATTCATGCAGCTGGGCTCCAAGCAAAATGAGAGTGAGAGATTTAAACACTACCTGGAGAAGACCTTTAAGAAGACTGCCAGTCTCATCGCCAACAGTTGTAAAGCTGTATGTATGTATTCTATCTCCACACAAACAATGCAGACTTCCAGAAAGTCTTTGGGGCCCAACGGAATAGGTTTGTGTTGACTGGTTGTTCTCTTCCATTCAAGGTATCCATTCTAGTGAACTCTGATCCAGAGGTTCATGAAATAGCCTTTCAGTACGGGAGGAATATAGGTATCGCCTTTCAGGTACATTTTTCTAATACTTGAATCAATGGGGTGTCATTTTTAATGTGCTCATTTTTCATTTTTTTTTAAATAAATGTATTTAACAATGAAATGTGTAAAATATATTTTAAGTTGTTTAATTGTGTGTGTCGTAGCTGGTGGACGATGTGCTGGACTTCACAGCGTGTGCCAGCCAGCTAGGAAAGCCTTCAGCTACAGACCTCAAGCTGGGCCTGGCCACTGGACCAGTGCTGTTTGCCTGCCAACAGGTGTGTGTGTGTGTGTGTGTGTGTGCACGTCTTCCATTTTATGGAAGTGAGAGTTTAACATTTTAACCTTTTTAGCTTCCCATGTGGGAAATAACTGAATGCGTCCCAAATGGCTCCCTATTCCCTATATAGTGTACTACTTTTGATCAGGTCCCCCACAAGGCTCTGGTCAAAAGTAGTGCACTATATAGGGCATAGGGTGCCATTTGGGACGTAGTCATTGACTCTCCTGGTCACTGTCTAATTTTGCTATTTCTAGATTGAATCACAGTGACTGACTGGTCATTATAAACTGGGTGGTTCAAGCCCTGAATGCTGATTGGCTGACAGCCGTGGTATATCAGACCGTATGCCACGGGTATGACAAACAAATTATTTTTACTGCTCTAATTACGTTGGTAACCAGTTTATAATAACAAGGCACCTCAGGGGTTTGTGGTGTATTGGCCATATAGCACACCCCCTTGGGCCTTATTGCGTAAATATACACTGAGTGTACAAAACATTAGGAACAGCTTCCTAATATTGAGTTGCACCCTGTTTTGCCCACAGAACAGCCTCAATTCGGGTGTCGAATGCGTTCCACAAGGATGCTGGCCCATGTTGACTCCAACGCTTCCCACAGTTGTGTCAAGATGGCTGGATGTCCTCTGGGTGGTGGACCATTCTTGATACACACTGGAAACTGTTGAGCGTGAAAAACTCAGCAATGTTGCAGTTCTTGCACTTAAAAATGTTGTTCCAATTGTCTCAAGGCTTAAAAATCCTCCTTTACCCTGTCTCCTCCCCTTCATCTACTCTGATTTGAATTGGATTTAACAAGTGACATCTGTAGCTCAATTGTAGCTCAATTGGTAGAGCACGGCGCTTGTAACGCCAGGGTAGTGGGTTCAATCCCCGGGACCACCCATACGTAAAAATGTATGCACACGTGACTAAGTCGCTTTGGATAAAAGCGTCTGCTAAATGGCTTATTATTATTATTATTATTATTATTATTATTATAAGGGATCATGGCTTTCACCTGGTCAGTCTGTCATGGAAAGTGCAGGTGTTCTTAATGTTTTGTACACTCAGTGTCTATTCCTCTCATTCATAGCATGTTATTTATTAAGCCAGGATAGTCCACTCAGTAACGATTGCCACTGTTTTCCAGGGAGTCCTGGGATCACATAATATGCCTATGACTGATTGCGTAGTCTGTGACAGTGTCTCTTACCGCTCCCTCTTTAGTTCCCTGAGCTGCATGGTATGATCATGAGGCGGTTCAGCTCCAGTGGAGATGTCGCTCGTGCCTGGCAGTATGTCCAGGAGGTAAGAAACATTGGCTATAGCTAGATGGAGCGTGGTCAGAAACATTGGGTATAGCTAGATGGAGGGAGGTCAGAAACATTGGGTATAGCTAGACGGAGGGAGGTCAGAAACATTGGGTATAGCTAGAGGGAGGGAGGTCAGAAACATTGGGTATAGCTAGAGGGAGGGAGGTCAGAAACATTGGGTATAGCTAGAGGAGGGAGGTCAGAAACATTGGCTATAGCTAGAGGGAGGGAGGTCAGAAACATTGGCTAGTAGCTAGAGGGAGGGAGGTCAGAAACATTGGGTATAGCTAGAGGGAGGGAGGGAGGTCAGAAACATTGGGTATAGCTAGAGGGAGGGAGGTCAGAAACATTGGCTATAGCTAGAGGGAGGGAGGTCAGAAACATTGGCTATAGCTAGATGGAGGGAGGTCAGAAACATTGGCTATAGCTAGAGGGAGGGAGGGAGGTCAGAAACATTGGCTATAGCTAGAGGGAGGGAGGTCAGAAACATTGGCTATAGCTAGAGGGAGGGAGGTCAGAAACATTGGCTATAGCTAGAGGGAGGGAGGTCAGAAAACATTGGGTATAGCTAGAGGGAGGGAGGGAGGTCAGAAACATTGGCTATAGCTAGAGGGAGGGAGGTCAGAAAACATTGGGTATAGCTAGAGGGAGGGAGGTCAGAAACATTGGCTATAGCTAGAGGGAGGAGGAGGTCAGAAACATTGGGTATAGCTAGAGGGAGGGAGGGAGGTCAGAAACATTGGCTATAGCTAGAGGGAGGGAGGTCAGAAACATTGGGTATAGCTAGAGGGAGGGAGGGAGGTCAGAAACATTGGGTATAGCTAGAGGGAGGGAGGTCAGAAACATTGGCTATAGCTAGAGGGAGGGAGGTCAGAAACATTGGCTATAGCTAGAGGGAGGGAGGTCAGAAACATTGGCTATAGCTAGAGGGAGGGAGGTCAGAAACATTGGCTATAGCTAGAGGGAGGTCAGAAACATTGGCTATAGCTAATGGGGAGGTCAGAAACATTGGCTATAGCTAGAGGGAGGGAGGGAGGTCAGAAACATTGGCTATAGCTAGAGGGAGGGAGGTCAGAAACATTGGCTATAGCTAGAGGGAGGGAGGTCAGAAACATTGGGTATAGCTAGAGGGAGGGAGGTCAGAAACATTGGGTATAGCTAGAGGGAGGGAGGGAGGTCAGAAACATTGGCTATAGCTAGAGGGAGGGAGGTCAGAAACATTGGGTATAGCTAGAGGGAGGGAGGGAGGTCAGAAACATTGGCTATAGCTAGAGGGAGGGAGGTCAGAAACATTGGGTATAGCTAGAGGGAGGGAGGGAGGTCAGAAACATTGGCTATAGCTAGAGGGAGGGAGGTCAGAAACATTGGCTATAGCTAGAGGGAGGGAGGTCAGAAACATTGGGTATAGCTAGAGGGAGGGAGGGAGGTCAGAAACATTGGCTAGAGGGAGGGAGGGAGGTCAGAAACATTGGCTATAGCTAGAGGGAGGGAGGGAGGTCAGAAACATTGGCTATAGCTAGATGGAGGGAGGGAGGTCAGAAACATTGGCTATAGCTAGAGGGAGGGAGGTCAGAAACATTGGCTATAGCTAGAGGGAGGGAGGGAGGTCAGAAACATTGGGTATAGCTAGAGGGAGGGAGGGAGGTCAGAAACATTGGCTATAGCTAGAGGGAGGGAGGGAGGTCAGAAACATTGGCTATAGCTAGATGGAGGGAGGTCAGAAACATTGGCTATAGCTAGAGGGAGGGAGGTCAGAAACATTGGCTATAGCTAGAGGGAGGGAGGGAGGTCAGAAACATTGGCTATAGCTAGAGGGAGGGAGGTCAGAAACATTGGGTATAGCTAGAGGGAGGGAGGGAGGTCAGAAACATTGGCTATAGCTAGAGGGAGGGAGGGAGGTCAGAAACATTGGCTATAGCTAGAGGGAGGGAGGTCAGAAACATTGGGTATAGCTAGAGGGAGGGAGGGAGGTCAGAAACATTGGGTAAAGCTGGAGGGAGGGAGGTCAGAAACATTGGCTATAGCTAGAGGGAGGGAGGTCAGAAACATTGGGTATAGCTAGAGGGAGGGAGGGAGGTCAGAAACATTGGGTATAGCTAGAGGGAGGGAGGTCAGAAACATTGGCTATAGCTAGAGGGAGGGAGGTCAGAAACATTGGCTATAGCTAGAGGGAGGGAGGGAGGTCAGAAACATTGGGTATAGCTAGAGGGAGGGAGGTCAGAAACATTGGCTATAGCTAGAGGGAGGGAGGGAGGTCAGAAACATTGGCTATAGCTAGACGGAGGGAGGTCAGAAACATTGGCTATAGCTAGAGGGAGGGAGGGAGGTCAGAAACATTGGGTATAGCTAGAGGGAGGGAGGTCAGAAACATTGGGTATAGCTAGATGGAGGGAGGTCAGAAACATTGGGTATAGCTAGATGGAGGGAGGGAGGTCAGAAACATTGGGTATAGCTAGAGGGAGGGAGGGAGGTCAGAAACATTGGCTATAGCTAGAGGGAGGGAGGGAGGGAGGTCAGAAACATTGGCTATAGCTAGAGGGAGGGAGGAGGTCAGAAACATTGGCTATAGCTAGACGGCGGGAGGTGTTTGTATAAAATCACCATATAGAAAGAAGTGGAAGGGCGCTCAACCAACGTTAGTCGAGGTGCAACCAATAAATAAGATCAAGGAGAAGGCTCAACGCTCGCTCACCATTAAAACATTATTTTATTTGAGCAACTATTAAAAGCTTTTACCTTTTTTTTTTGTTGCTTTCATCGGAATATAAACGCAGTATAGAAATACTATTGGACCTATGATCATGTAGTAATTACAAGTGACCTGTTAGAAAGCACGCTGACTCCCCCTCCTGTTTGTCCTCAGAGTAACGGTGTGGATCAGACCAACTACCTGGCCCAGCACTACTGTCAGGAGGCCGTCCGGCAGATCAGCCTGCTCAGGCCCTCTCCGGAGCGGGATGCCCTCATCAGGCTCACCCAGACGGTCCTCACCCGTGACAGGTGAGCGCCCACCCCCAGGCGTCACTTCAGGCAGCTACTTGTACCTGTGGAATGCCCCGTATGGAGGGGGAAGATGGTGATGGGTGGTTTAATGTTTCATCAGTGATATTCCCAGGGGGGGTCCTGATGGAGCACTGTTTATGCAGGTTTTTGTATGTAACTAAGATGAAGGTGGAACTAAACTGTGCATACACAGGTTCTTCGGGACTGACTTCTGAGATGCACTGCTTCACATTACCTATGGCTTCTTTATCCCCTCTGGGAAACACTTAGGGGCTCACAGAACAAAGAATATGTTATTGACACCAGTGGTTTTTCAATGCCAGTCCTGCAGGACCCCTGCCTCAACAGTTTTCTGTAACAACCCCCACATTTTCTTCAATTGGACTTCAACAAAACCATCAAATGGCATGTCAGTGAGGATTGGACACAGACCTGTATGCACAGAGACCCTACAGGATTATTGTAAAAAAAAAAACTAAAAAAATCACTGTTTTACCCTATTTTCCCTGTACTGTACATGCAGATGGAGTATCATTGTGATATAGGTGTGTGTTAAGACATTGCTCGAAGATCCGTCCGCACCGCACAAATGCCAAACTTTTGTCATGGTGACTCACACCAATTTGGAGAACGTTGTTTATATTGTAGGTGCTTCCTGTATCAAGTGCTTCATAACAACAAGGCCTTAACATCCACAATGACTCAAATTAAAACATTACTTTTTTTTTTTTTAAGTCAAGCTTTCTACCCATTGTTTTCATTCCCAATCACCACACCACGAGGTCGTACATAGGAGAATGGTTTTATTATAAAAGACTGTGTGTACACTTTTCAATTAATATATAGACACATTAAGGGCAGAGCTCTGATATTTGTACCCATTGACCTGGAACAGCTGCGGTATGCTGTAATGGTAAAACGGTGACAAACGCAGTTAAATTCCCATGCGAGTCTGGACAGGAAAGACAATCATGTAGGAACTGTTGAGAAAGGCTGCCGTGTTCCATCGTAACCTTAAACCAGTGAGAACGCCAACATTGAATTGTCATGAATCGATCGATAGTCATCCCTAAGGGATAAATAGCCTACAGCTATATAAGTGAGTCTAGACAAAGTGGGTGGGGCCCATTTGGAACAATAAAAGGGAAAAAACAACTTGGTGTCGATGATATCCAGACCGGAGTTATAAAACCAAACCATTTGCGGGTTTTTTAAAAACTATGACGATTCTAAAACGATGTGATCTGGGTTTTACATTTGATCGTTGTTGCTCCATCTATGTGAAGACTGAGGCGGTAAATGAGATGTCATATTGGTCTCCATTATTACGGAATAGTCAAATGGGCAGTTTTTGTTATGAACATCATGACAAAACAACAGTTTGAAAACTAAGCCCACTAACACGGCATGAAGAACAATCTATCATCCATTACTGTTTACATTTATATACTTCTATCAAAACTACAGATAAATCATTTTTTTCAGATAAGACATGAACTATGACGTTTCTTAAAATGGATATGGAACTCTAATAGTGAAAAGGGGAATGTGTCTGTCAAACTGGGAGTCACAAAATAATGGTTTTGCTTTTCACCGCATTACCATATGGAAGAATTCATTGAATTGAATACGCTTATTGAATACGCTTAAATACAAATTAGAGCATTTTGAAAATAAGACCAATAAATGACAATTTAATCAATTCAAAACAATAAAATAGCCTAAATTGAATGGAAATATTACAACAAAATGGAAGCATAATTAAACGTAGAGGTTATACATTTTTTATTAGATTTTGCATGCTTTACGCACAGACTTAATTTCAGGAATGACTGAAATAAAAACAGAAAAAAGGTTTTGTTATTCATAAAAAGCTCAAGTTTGCATTTAACATCCCAAATCGATCAGGCTTGTGATTTATGATAACCTTGATTTGTAGAAAATCAAACAAGTATTTTTCGTCAATCATTTTGAGAAAAAAAAAAAAGTGGATGAATCAAATGTATTATTTATCTAAATATTGAAACAGTTTGGGCTACAGAGGCAGAATAGCGCAGTTTGAAGCTATATGGCAAAGTTTAGCAACCACTGGAGATGAGAAATTAGAATGTGTGTGAGACGACGGGCAGGATGGGGTTACGGTGGGAACGTGTGGGTCTGAGCAAGGGTGAGGTCATTAATGTTCGTTAAAATGTATGTATGTAAATGTTGAGTTGTCTATATATATGTTTTTGTATTGTCAAAAAAGTAAAATAAAAAAGATATTATGAAGAAAATCAAACAATCTTCTGTTGGGACATTTACATGTGTTGTGTGTAGCCTGCTTGAGATAATGTGATTGACATTCACTGAATTTACACTACAGACACCCAACAGGCTGCCACTCACATTATATACTATTAACAGTAGTAACACTTCCCCTAAAGGTCTACACAAGATCACCTAATGCCGACATGTGCTTTACATTTTTAATTTTAGAAGACGCTCTCATCCAGAGCGACTTACAGGAGCAATTAGGGTTAAGTGCCTTGCTCAAGGGCACATCGACAGATTTTTCACCTAGTCGGCTAGGGGATTAGAACCAGCGACCTTTCGGTTCACTGGCACAACGCTCTTAACCACTAAGCTACCTACCTGACAGACATTTGCTCCACATAGCACAATACACGTGATACACTCATGAAGACATTCATACGTTAAGATAAGTGCATGAAAAATGTGTAGGTCAATAGATGAACAGTTGGGTCAGATGTTATGTTATGCATATGTAAACAGGGCAGAGCACTTAAAGGAAGGATGGCCTTCAGCTAGTGTTACCCTGGTCTCACAGGAGTTTGGTGGCACCTTAACCGGGGAGGACGGGCTCGTGGTAATGGCAGGAGCGGAATCAGTGGAATGGTATCAAATACATCAAACAACATGGTTTGCCATTCCATTGGCTCCGTTCCAGCTACTATGAGCCGTCCTCCCATCAGCAGCCTCCACTGCCTGGTCTTTTGAAAACATCCCAGTCCTTGTGACATCAGCCTTATCCTATTCTTTTTTTATATACTTTTGTCTCCCAACCCACACGTAAAAAACACCAAAATAAAGTAAATAGATATTTGTATTTTATTTGCAATCAGTAAGAGACCAAACATTCTGTCATATCCAAAAGCACTTCCATATGCTTTGTAAGGTCAGATTTCTGTTTTAATTGATCTGTAGTAGAAACACTGAATCAAGACAGTGTAGTAGGGTCCCTTCAGTCAGCATAGTGCATGATGGACTCGACGTAGTTGCCGGGGAACAGGCCTGTGACTCCGCTGCTGATTCCCTCGAACCAGCCGTCGTCGTTCTTCTTGATGATGTAGATGATGGCTCCCTCCATGAAACTCAGCTCGTCGTCTTTATCTGCCGTGTAGTCGTAGATGGCCACCACTGAGGAGGCGAAAAACATCAGAGGGATTAGGCAAACTGGATTAGGATACAACGGGTAAGAAACGGTTTGCCTGAAGGTTAACATATTTTATTGTGAGTGTCAAAATGTGCTTAAGTAGTTGACTAGTTCGGTGTAGTTTTAAATAAATACATGTGAAGTGTATGGTAGGGAAGAGAAGTAGAGTGGCGTCGGTATTGAGCCCCGAGGCGTACCTTTCTCTATGTAGCTCTTGGGCGCCCACTGGGGGTCTCCTTCGGCATACGGGTCACTGTAGTGCACCACAGCCGCTTCCTCTTCCTCGTAGTCAACTGGCGGCGGAGGAGGAGGAGGAGGAGGAGCTTCATCAAACATGGGAAGGTCATCGGATGGAAGAGGGGGAGGCGGAGTAGGGGCGTCCGCAACTGCCAAACGCCGATGAGTAGAGGGGGAGAGGGAACGAGATTAGGAATGCTGCCTGAAACTGGGAGGAAGGAACGGGTCCCGTTGTACATTACAGGCGGGCTTCACATGCCACCAAGCCCAACGCTAGAGAAAACCATGCAATCGTGGAAGAGCAACATGCTGTGGTTTGTATGTATGCCAGGCGCCGATGGTTAGTCGGTCAAGGACCAAATAAAATGCCTGACAGCGAGTTGTTGGCGTGCGGATATTGACCTTTTGAGATTCATTCCTCCAGGTCACTTGTTAAGACACCTAATTTGGTTACACGTGTTCTTTGCCACCAAGGTAATGCTGCACGCAACGCAAACTTGTTTTGACATTCTATTTCCATTGGATTTGAATTCTCTTCTTGTGTTTTGTTGTATAATATCATTCATTATTTACTTCAGTTAGCAACGACAGTAGAGAACTTGTGACTATCCTAGAGGGATGCGGCTCTATCACCACAAACACACACACCGGTCCAATCCCAAATGGACCCCTAAGCCATTCACCCTATGCACTTGTGGAGATATGAGAGGATTTGATTGGAAGAAGCAATATGGTGAAACTTCCACCTAGCCTATCAGAGTGCAAGGTGGAGCTATTACCATATTGCTTATACCTGTAACATCTTCTAAGATCTCCACAAGTGCAGAGGGTGTAGGGCTTAGGGCTTAGGGGACCATTTGGGATTGGACCATCCAGAGCTGCAACTAGTTTCAGTTGGAGGCAGAAAGCCCTATCCTCCTATCAGTCATGTTCCAAAGCAACAACCCTTCTCCATCTTGTGACCCAAGTCCAAGGAAGTGTATTTTGATTTACAGGGAAGAGTATTTTTTCTCTTTAATTATTTACAGAAGCGAACGCCTACAAATGAGTCCAGTACAATAGACTGCAGCCCATATAGTCAGGGGAGGACCTCTGAATCAGAAGCTACAGTAGGATGCGTGCATCCGATCGTGGAGGCTTACCTGCATAAAATCAAACATGATGACCATTTCTACGTTGTGCCAAAGGGAATAAGAGCGGAGCCATTCTGAGGTGGTGTTTTTATCAGAGGATGCTAATCCAATCACCACTCAGGATACTACGTCAGTGCTCTCTGTTTTACTCTCTCGACTGGAAATGACAGCCTTCGTACTGTTAAGAAAACGGCTATAAAAATGGTGGTGTTTTAATTCTGCCGGTAACATAAATCTGTTTAACGCAGACATAAATCTGTCTTAACAATAGCAGGCTAAGCTTCTTTTAAAGTTACACAAAAGCATGCAGACTATTTCTCTGTTGATCACACCGTACTACGCACAATACGTTTAGTCCTTCCATATGTGCCGCTCATACGGTGCATTTTTTTTGGTTAAATTATACTTAACATATGCCTTATCACACACGTGGTACTTTGTAGAATACCAATTCAGCTGCTTCCTCCATTATATATTCTCCTGAATAATCTTGGAATGGAGCCACTTTTTTCACTATTTGTTCTCAGTATCTGCACACTGGAGAAAGCAATGGGTCTCGACGGCAATAAGCGTCTGTTTGAGAACACTACTTATTAACACAGACAATAGATAAGAGCTGTCTACAGCGCAGGCAGACAGGCAGACAGGCAGGCAGGCAGGCAGGCAGGCAGGCAGGCAGACAGGCAGGCAGGCAGGTAGGCAGGCAGGCAGGCAGGCAGGCAGGCAGGCAGGCAGGCAAGCAGGCAGACAGGCAGATGAGTGAACAGGCACAAAGCATGCTGTGTGGTTGACAGATGAGGGTTGTTATAGTCAGATTTAGGGGAAAGGGTGAGTGATCTGGGGAACAGGGAGAGTGAATTGGAGAACAGGGAGAGTGATCTGCGCAACAGGGAAAGTGTGTGTTGAGCCTGTAGACTTACTGTTCTCCTGCACCCTGGCCACAAAGCCTGTAAGAGGTATCTGTGGAGTCAGCTGAGGCATGGGGGGAGGAGGGGGAGCTATAGACACGGGAAGCCGCCACAAACGCACCAAACGAAAGAGAGAAAAGCAGACAGAGAGGAGAATAAAGCAGACCAGAGAGGATATAAAGCAGACCCAGGACATGAGAGGATATTAACAGCAGCAGGAGAGGATATACAGCAGACAGAGAGGATATAACAGCAGACAGAACGAGGAAGTTATAAAGCAGTACAGAGAGGATATAAAGCAGACAGAGAGGATGTATACAGCAGACAGAGAGATATACAGCAGGACAGAGAGGATATGACATGCAGGAAGAGTGAATATAAAGGCAGACCAGAGAGGATATAAAGCAAGACAGAGAGGATATCCAAGCAGGACAGAGAGGAGTATACCAGCCAGACAGAGAGATATTACAGCCAGACAGAGAGGATATATAAGCAGACAGATAGGATATATACCGCAGTACAGAGAGGATATAAAGCAGCAGAGAGGATATAAAGCAGAAAAGAAGGATATAAAGCAGACAGAGGCTATAAAGCAGAGCAGAGGTATATAAAGCAGACAGAGAGGATATAAAGCAGGGATAAACGAAGAGGATATAAAGCAGACAGAGAGATATAAAGCAGACAGAGAGGATATAAAGCAGACAGAGAATAAAGACGAGAGGATATAAGCAGACAGAGAGGATATAAAGCAGACAGAGGATAAAAGCAGACGAGAGGATATAAGCAGACAGAGGATATAAGCAGACAGAGAGATAACAGCAGACAGAGGATATAAAGCAGACAGAGAGGATATACAGCAGACAGAGAGGATATAAAGCAGACAGAGAGGATATACAGCAGACAGAGAGGATATAAAGCAGACAGAGAGGATATAAAGCAGACAGAGAGGATATAAAGCAGACAGAGAGGATATAAAGCAGACAGAGAGGATATAAAGCAGACAGAGAGGATATAAAGCAGACAGAGGGATATAAAGCAGACAGAGAGGATATAAAGAGGACAGAGAGGATATAAAGCAGACAGAGAGGATATAAAGCAGACAGAGAGGATATAAAGCAGACAGAGAGGATATACAGCAGACAGAGAGGATATAAAGCAGACAGAGAGGATATAAAGCAGACAAGAGGATATAAAGCAGACAGAGAGATATAAAGCAGACAGAGAGGATATAAAGCAGACAGAGAGGATATAAAGCAGACAGAGGATATAAAGCAGACAGAGAGGATATAAAGCAGACAGAGAGGATATACAGCAGACAGAGAGGATATACAGCAGACAGAGAGGATATAAAGCAGACAGAGAGGATATAAAGCAGACAGATGATATAAAGCAGACAGATGATATAAAGCAGACAGAGAGGATATAAAGCAGACAGAGAGGATATAAAGCAGACAGAGAGGACAGAGACGAGAGGAAAAGCAACAGAGGACGAACAACAGGAACAGACAATCATCACCAACAAGGTGATAAATGTGAAACAAAAGTACTCAACCAATATGAAACAGAGTACTCCAACCCAACATAGAAACAGAGTACCCCATGAAACAGAGTACCCCAACCCAACCCAATATGAAACAGAGTACTCCAACCCAACCCAATATGAAACAGAGTACTCCAACCCAACCCAATATGAAACAGAGTACCCCAACCCAATATGAAACAGAGTACCCCAACCCAATATGAAACAGAGTACCCCAACCCAATATGAAACAGAGTACTCCAACCCAATATGAAACAGAGTACTCCAACCCAACCCAATATGAAACAGAGTACCCCAACCCAAAATGAAACAGTGTACCCCAACCCAATATGAAACAGAGTACCCCAACCCAATATGAAACAGAGTACTCCAACCCAACCCAATATGAAACAGAGTACCCCAACCCAATATGAAACAGAGTACCCCAACCCAAAATGAAACAGTGTACCCCAACCCAATATGAAACAGAGTACCCCAACCCAATATGAAACAGAGTACCCCAACCCAATATGAAACAGAGTACCCCAACCCAATATGAAACAGAGTACCCCAACCCAATATGAAACAGAGTACTCCAACCCAATATGAAACAGAGTACCCCAACCCAATATGAAACAGAGTACCCCAACCCAATATGAAACAGAGTACCCCAACCCAATATGAAACAGAGTACCCCAACCCAATATGAAACAGAGTACCCCAACCCAATATGAAACAGAGTACTCCAACCCAAGTCACTATACCCTAAAGTCAATGCAATACTATCATTGCAAGAATTTTAGAGACACACACACTGAAAGGTTAGTCATGAGTTTTGTGCACTTCTACAAGGAAATACATTTAATATGTAATGTGTACAAATCATAGAAACAGAGTCTATGCTTGTGGTTTTTAGTTCAGCGAGGCCAGAGACTGAGTGCAGGTTTCCCCAAGGTATTTGGTTGTTGTACAGAGGGATTATAAAGCGATGAGGTTTGATTGTTGTCACGTTGCCATTTCATGCTCCTAATCACAATGAGATTATTTGGATGATTGTAGCGTCGGCATACGGCCAGAGAGAGGCGCTGTCTGCACCCCTAACGACCCTGGTTCTTAGTTCACAAACCGTGGCGTGAAGAGTACCACCCATAGAAATATGATCTATAGACAGGCCTTGGAACCTCTTACCCTGGCAATTTGACTGGTAAACTCATGGGCACACTCACAATGGCTGCAAGTCCACCCATTATGCTATCATTGACTTGAATGGGGAGGGCCCGTTCTATAGATTAAATTTCTATGGTGCCACCATCTTAAAATAACCTGTTGACCTTAGAGAGGTCAGGGTCAAGGGTCAGGGCCCCCTCTAGCTAGCGTGCTGCAATTGTCCACACTGATGTCTAAATGTATCTCGTGGCTAACAATCATAGACGGTTTGATGTTTCTGTCTGAAATCAAACAAAGGATGATATGCCGTATTTTTGACATGGATAGATAGGGGCAATATTTCATCCTTCAATTTCCATCCCATAAAGGCTACTGATAATGCATGGTTTAAGCTGGCTCTTAATCTACAGGCTCTTGAGGTCAACCCCATGCCTAAATCATGATCTTTACTGAAGGAAGCATGCGATGCTGCCTCCATACACCCGACCCGTATGCTTGGATAAGTGGGGCTCATTAACAGCTGCATAAAGGTCAACGTTGTGGAACAGCCAAAGGTTCACGATGTCACTAAAAAAAGGAGAGTAGATAAAGCATCATCTTTTCAGATAAAAAGGCCTCTACATCTCCAGTGTCTACAGAACGTCCTGTATAACCGGGACTAGACATAATGACAAGAGGAAGTGTTTATTTAATAACGGCTTTATACAACGCCACAGTTATAAATGATTTGGGGGGGACGAGGGTTCCGGCTCATTAGAGAAGCTTCCTCCTCCTACATTCTGTAAGTGCGTCTCAAATGGCACCCTATTCCATTTATAGTGCACTACTTTAGACAGAGCCCTATGGAGAATAAGGAGCCGTTTGGGACACGCCCAGTGTCCTCTTAGTGCTGATGGATCTTAACATCCAATGACAACCCTCTGCGATGCCAGTTAACATTGTGACTGTAAGATTTGACGCCAGCCGGTCTTTCACAGTGCAAGTGAACGGGAGAGGGGAGAGCTGAGGAGAATCTCAATTCAAAACGGCACAGGTGGCTGCCGACAGCTTGAGTTTCTCACATTTTATTCTAAATCCTTTTGAATTTTCCAGTACTTTTTTTATTTTTTTATTTCACCTTTATTTAACCAGGTAAGCCAGTTGAGAACAGGTTCTCATTTACAACTGCGACCTGGCCAAGATAAAGCATAGTAGTGCAATAAAACAACAACACAGAGTTACATATGGGGTAAAAAACATAAAGTCAGAAATACAACAGAAAATATATATACAGTGTGTGCAAATGAAGCAAGTTATGGAGGTAAGGCAATAAATAGGCTATAGTGCAGAATAATTACAATAGTATTAACACTGGAATGCTAGATGTGCAAGAGATTATGTGCAAATAGAGATACTGGGGTGCAAATGAGCAAAATAAATAACAATATAGGGATGAGGTAGTTGGGTGGGCTAATTTCAGATGGGCTGTGTACAGGTGCAGTGATCGGTAAGGTGCTCTGACAACTGATGCTTAAAGTTATTGAGGGAGACAAGAGTCTCCAGCTTCAGAGATTTTTGCAATTCGTTCCAGTCATTGGCAGCAGAGAACTGGAAGGAATGGCGGCCAAAGGAGGTGTTGGCTTTGGGAATGACCAGTGAGATATACCTGCTGGAGCGCAGACTACGGGTGGGTGCTGCTATGGTGACCAATGAGCTAAGATAAGGCGGGGATTTGCCTAGCAGTGATTTATAGATGGCCTGGAGCCAGTGGGTTTGACGACGAACATGTAGTGAGGACCAGCCAACAAGAGCGTACAGGTCACAGTGGTGGGTAGTGTATGGGGCTTTGGAGACAAAACGGATGGCACTGTGATAGACTACATCCAATTTGCTGAGTAGAGTGTTGGAGGCTATTTTGTAAATGACATCGCCGAAGTCAAGGATCGGTAGGATAGTCAGTTTTACGAGGGCATGTTTGGCAGCATGAGTGAAGGAGGCTTTGTTGCGAAATAGGAAGCCGATTCTAGATTTAACTTTGGATTGGAGATTCTTTATGTGAGTCTGGAAGTTGAGTTTACAGTCTAACCAGACACCTAGGTATTTGTAGTTGTCCACATACTCTAGGTCAGACCCGTCGAGAGTGGTGATTCTAGTCGGGTGGGCGGGTGCCAGCAGCGTTCGATTGAAAAGCATGCATTTAGTTTTACTAGTGTTTAAGAGCAGTTGGAGGCTACTGAAGGATTGTTGTATGGCATTGAAGCTCGTTTGGAGGTTTGTTAACACAGTGTCCAATGAAGGGCCAGATGTATACAAAATGGTGTCGTCTGCGTAGAGGTGGATCTGAGAGTCACCAGCAGCAAGAGCGACATCATTGATATACACGGAGAAAAGTGTCGGCCCAAGAATTGAACCCTGTGGCACCCCCATAGAGACTGCCATAGGTCCAGACAACAGGCCCTCCGATTTGACACACTGAACTCTATCTGAGAAGTAGTTGGTGAACCAGGCGAGGCAGTCATTTGAGAAACCAAGGCTATTTAGTCTGCCAATAAGAATGCGGTGGTTGACAGATTCGAAAGCCTTGGCCAGGTCGATGAAGACGGCTGCACAGTACTGTCTATTATCAATCGCGGTTATAATATCGTTTAGGACCTTGAGCGTGGCTGAAGTGCACCCGTGACCAGCTCGGAAACCGGATTGCATAGCGGAGAAGGTACGGTGGGATTCGAAATGGTCGGTGATCTGTTTGTTAACTTGGCTTTCAAATACTTTCGAAAGACAGGGCAGGATGGATATGGGTCTGTAACAGTTTGGATCTAGAGTGTCACCCCCTTTGAAGAGGGGGATGACCGCGGCAGCTTTCCAATCTCTGGGGATCTCAGACGTTATGAAAGAGAGGTTGAACAGACTAGTAATAGTGGTAACTTGATGAGGTTATTGATTCAGTACGCCTGCCTGTGTTTGTGTTCCCACAGCAGTTTTAGTCGAAGGGTACAGGACAGAGGACAAAAAATAAACACTGTGTTTAAGTTAGTGGACACCTTGAGCTGGGGTCACCTTCTGGAGGCTGGCTAGTACATTTGAGGGATCAGGGAGAGAGGAGAAATCAACCACTTAAAAAGGTTGTGAAAGCACTAATAAATTGTGATTTAACAAAACCTCAGCTCGTACTTAAACAGAGGCCAAAAAAGCAGAGACTCTGCAGTGCTGGAGCATTATCCATTACCTGGATTGTATCAGCTGGAGAATCCAAGGAGGAGAATACGTTCTACATCAATGTACAAGACGTTCACCGGAGAGGAGAAACGCCTTAACCGGCACTTTGACAGGAGAGAAGTCAATACACATGAGTGTCTTACTTGAGTTGTGGGGGTAGGCGGGGGTGCCCCCGTTAATGTACGGCTGCTGTATCTGCTGCTGCTGTTGATGCTGTAGGGCCTGCTGCTGCTGCAGGGAGAACTGGGAGGTGACGGACGGCGCCCGGCGGTAGGTGCCCGTGGCCGAAACCATGGAGACTGACGAGGTGGTGGAGTTGTGCCGCGAGATCTGCCTTGAGATGGTGCCGAACTGGGACATGGGGATGGGGCCCAGACCAGGCCCGGGGGTCACCGCTGGAGGAGAAACACCCACAGAGAGAGAGAGAGAGATAGAGGAGGAGAGAGAGAGAGAGAGAGAGAGAGAGAGATAGAGGAGGAGAGAGAGAGAGAGAGAGAGAGAGAGAGAACCCAGAAAATTAATTAGTGACACCCAATAACAAGAGTAGACTTAAGATTTGCAGAGCATTCACTGGATCCCCAAAGCAACTGACCCACCAATCACAGAGACCCAGGGGAGGGGAGGGGATGGACAGGGAATCACCAAAACCAATCCTGATGGAGAGACACACACCAAGTCATAGGTGGAGTTCCTTCCCGACTACATTGCAGACGTATGCGAGATCTTACAATGCCTGGATAGGTATTTAACATGTCAGCAAACCATATCATATATCCATCTGTACCCCGACTGCAGTCGATGACGTGGCACGCAACCATTGGCTGATGCAATGCAACGCCTGAGCATCTTGTCAGGCAGGAAGTCAACCATTACGTATAGCAGTCATGAGGAGTGCTCCACTGTCGAATAACGTCCAGATGTGTTCTAGAACAGTCATGTTTACTGCCATCTATCATTGGCCACAATCACAACACCTTTACCCCAATAGCATGCTTGATATAACCATGTGGATAACAGTGTACATTTGTTTTGTAAAAGAGGCAGGGGAGAATAGAAGAGCCACATGATTTAAGGACAGAAGGAGTCAGTTAAAAGGGGACAGATCCTTCAGCTACTCCTGGGGCTTTCTGCCACTCCACATGGACTGAGGGATCAATACAAGTGAACCTGCATTGCAGTATTAACGGAGGAGTGACACACGTTCTTTGCTGTATTCAAATCAAATTGCAAGAATGTTTGAATACTGTAAAAATACACAATAGACACACATCACAGGTAGATGTATTGCTACGGTATGAGGAAGTACCCAGGTAGATGTATTACTATGGTATGAGGAAGTACCCAGGTAGATGTATTGCTACGGTATGAGGAAGTACCCAGGTAGATGTATTACTATGGTATGAGGAAGTACCCAGGTAGATGTATTGCTACGGTATGAGGAAGTACCCAGGTAGATGTATTACTACGGTATGAGGAAGTACCCAGGTAGATGTATTGCTACGGTATGAGGAAGTACCCAGGTGGATGTATTACTACGGTATGAGGAAGTACCCAGGTAGATGTATTACTACGGTATGAGGAAGTACCCAGGTAGATGTATTACTACGGTATGAGGAAGTGCCCAGACACACAAAGTTTGCGGAGGAGTGATGAAACAGGGCATCATCACTTCAGTGTAGATTTCATTTCACTGACTACAACCAATCCATTTGTTTTTTGTCAGCATTTTCACAACAATAAATATTACTACCGTTAATGCGATATTTCAGGATTGTGTAAAAAAAATATTTGAATGAGGGAAAGTGTGTGTGTGTGTGTGTGTGTGTGTGTGTGTGTGTGTGTGTGTGTGTGTGTGTGTGTGTGTGTGTGTGTGTAGAATGTGTTTTCCTACATTTGGGCATTTCCTGTTTACTGGGTCAGATAACGGTAGCTCTCTGGAGAAGCTCTTCTCTCAGATAGTGATGAATCGAACCAGAACAAGTTCAGACTCAGGGGAACAGAGGACTCAACAAACAGTTAAAACGTCTCCAGAATGTCCCTCAGACTGATCCTTCATCTCTACATGCTCTAACCAGATAATAAACCACCGGTGACTCCTGGTAGCAAGCCGGCTAGTTATTACATGTTTTCTAATGGGAAAAACTAACAGCTAGCATATTTGTTCCAAATGGTTTTGACCTGAGGTGTAAGCAAGAGTTCGTAATACGGACCCCACAATTCTACTGATGTTTTTGATTGATGACCTTTCTTGATTTGTAAAATATTTTGTTGTTGAATGATAGCACAGGGTCATAGCAGGGTCATAGCAGGGATGTCATAACTGATATGTTGGTTGTCACGACCTGTCAAAACATGGAGCAATAGCTGGTTCAAAAGCATTATGACTACTGTGACAGTCGCGTTACAACATAACGACATTTGTATTTTTTTAATTTTTAATTTAGCAGACACGCTTATCCAGAGCGACTTACAGTTTTAGTGAGTGCATACATTTTTCATATTGGCCCCCCATGGGAATCGAACCCACAACCCTGACGTTGCGAGCGCCATGCTCTACCAACTGAGCTCCAGGAGGCCCGATACATCTGTAACATTGATAGAACATCCAGAAACCCATTCAGCCATACATGAAGACGTAATGAAGACCAGGGCCCATATTCACAAAGCAATAGAACATCCAGAAACCCATTCAGCCATACATGAAGACGTAATGAAGACCAGGGCCCATATTCACAAAGCAATAGAACATCCAGAAACCCCTACAGCCATACATGAAGACGTAATGAAGACCAAGGCCCATACTCACAAAGCAATAGAACATCCAGAAACCCCTACAGCCATACATGAAGACGTAATGAAGACCAAGGCCCATACTCACAAGCAATAGAACATCCAGAAACCCCTACAGCCATACATGAAGACGTAATGAAGACCAAGGCCCATACTCACAAAGCAATAGAACATCCAGAAACCCCTACAGCCATACATGAAGACGTAATGAAGACCAAGGCCCATACTCACAAAGCAATAGAACATCCAGAAACCCCTACAGCCATACATGAAGACGTAATGAAGACCAAGGCCCATACTCACAAAGCAATAGAACATCCAGAAACCCCTACAGCCATACATGAAGACGTAATGAAGACCAAGGCCCATACTCACAAAGCAATAGAACATCCAGAAACCCCTACAGCCATACATGAAGACGTAATGAAGACCAAGGCCCATACTCACAAAGCAATAGAACATCCAGAAACCCTTACAGCCATACATGAAGACGTAATGAAGACCAAGGCCCATACTCACAAAGCATAGAAACATCCAGAAACCCCTACAGCCATACATGAAGACGTAATGAAGACCAAGGCCCATACTCACAAAGCAATAGAACATCCAGAAACCCCTACAGCCATACATGAAGACGTAATGAAGACCAAGGCCCATACTCACAAAGCAATAGAACATCCAGAAACCCCTACAGCCATACATGAAGACGTAATGAAGACCAAGGCCCATACTCACAAAGCAATAGAACATCCAGAAACCCCTACAGCCATACATGAAGACGTAATGAAGACCAAGGCCCATACTCACAAAGCAATAGAACATCCAGAAACCCCTACAGCCATACATGAAGACGTAATGAAGACCAAGGCCCATACTCACAAAGCAATAGAACATCCAGAAACCCCTACAGCCATACATGAAGACGTAATGAAGACCAAGGCCCATACTCACAAAGCATCTCAGAGTAAAAGTGCTGATCTAGAATCATGTCCCTTCTGTTATGCTCCTGAGTGGCGCAGTGGTCTAAGGCACTGCATCGCAGTGCTAACTGTGTCACTAGAGATCCTGGTTCGAATCCAGGCTCTGTCGCAGCCGGCCGCGACCGGGAGACTCATGGGCGACGCACAATTGGCCCAGCGTCGTCCAGGGTAGGGGAGGGAATGGCCGGCAGGGATGTAGCTCAGTTGATAGAGCATGGCGTTTGCAACGCCAGGGTTGTGGGTTCGATTCCCACGGGGGGCCAGTATAAAAAAAATAATAAAAAAAATGTATTCACTAACTGTAAGTCGCTCTGGATAAGAGCGTCTGCTAAATGACTAAAATGTAAATGTTATTATATAATCTTATTCATTATGATCTAAGAAGGCTAAACTGATCCCAGATCAGACGCTTGAAAACATACAGCCCCTGTACTTCAAAGCTATAACAGTCAATCACTAAGAGATCCAAGATGGCGTAGCAGTGCGGTCGTGTTCTTTGTTGTGTGTCCGTGTAAATAGCCTGTTTTTTGTATTTTTTTTGTTGTATTTTTCGTACTTATTTCCCTATCACACTTTTCATCCTTCTACAAAATATACTTTCCTGCAACCCGCCTTACTCAATGTGGAACGGATTCTATTATTGACTTACCTTTTATCTAGAATCTCCAGTTGAAACTAGCTAGCCAGCTAACTAGCTACTTGCTATTAGCCACCGTTAGCTGTTTTCACCCAGAACATCGGATTTTCTGCCGGAATAACTGAATCACTGGACATTAACACCGGATCACAACTAGCTAGCCGCAACCGGATGGATGTTGCTGTTGGCTAATCACAGCTAACCCCGAAGCTAGCACCAGTTAGCCTTGAGCTAGCCTCGAGCCAGGCCCATATCCCGGCTATCTACCTCTCTGTCTACCGGACGGGAGTAGCCAGCTAACTAGCTACTTGCTATTAGCCACCGTTAGCGGTTTTCACCATTGTCCGTGGCCTGCACTACCTACCAGCCAGCTCTAGCCTGGACTATTATCGGCCAGTCTGCACTGTCTGCACAGCGCGTTATCGACCCAGAACATATCGGTTTTTCTGCCGGAATCACTGAATCACTGGACCTTTAATACCGGATCATCGCAACTAGCTAGCTGCAACCAAATGGATGTAGTTGTTGGCTAATCAGCCCTGAGCTAGCCTCGAGCCAGGCCCATCTCCCGGCTATCTATCTCTCTGTCAACCGGACGGGACCTCCTAGTGTTGACACGGCGCCCCGCCGATCCAACACGACTGGTCTGCCAACGAAATCGTCTGATGTGGTTTCAACAGGCTTCCCGTTACAACGCCGACCACGAAGATCCATCTGCTAGCCCCGGCCCACTAGCACATGCAAGCCGTGGCCTCTTGCTCGCCAGTGCTGTAGGAGCCCCCGAACTACCTCCGAACTCTCCTATTGCTGTTCACCGGACCTTATGATAACTCAGCTATACAGCTGATGCCTGCTGGACTGTTCCTTTATACGGTACCGCATCCTGTTTATGTTTAGCCTCAGCCCAAACTTTGTCGCGATTACCAGCTGTTGTCTTAGCTCTCTCGAATAACACCTGTGATATGCTTTATATTTTTTCTCTGTACCC